GTCCTAGGTGACCATATGTTTTGAAAAAAAAATGTTTTAAAATGTTTCCGGAAACTTCAAAGGAATTTAGAAAATATTTTATGGGGGAAAGATCTTTGGGTGTCTACGGTCTCACGCTAGAGTTGTGTTGTTTCTTTGTAAGTTATACATAGACTGATTGAATAGTTCTAGGTTATTTGCGCTTGCTTGTTTATTTTAAATAAATTGTGTCGGTCTATTTTTATTAGAAGGTTGTATCTCAACGCGTTGTTCAGTGTCAAAGCCATACCCCGTGTGAGTTTTGAATTGATAAGTGTTGGAGTTTCGAAAGTGAGCCATCAAGAGAAGAGTTGAGCCTCACAAGCTTCGACAATGGAATATTGGGGAAGTACACGACGCTGTAATTAAGCTATGAGAAGTGGAGTTACATAGAAGTCTTATGGGAATGATCAGATGAAGTGGAATCAGGTGATTAGGGAAATGAGGGTTGTCGAGGCAAGAAAATAAGAGAAGTGGAGAAGACGAGAAAGCCACAGGAAGAGGTTATGGTGGAACCATGACAGAGCCGCTACGGTGGAGATGATGGTAGCGTGAAACCACGGTGAGGCTGTGGTGGTGACGCGATCTCGGAGGACAAAGACGCAACGACATAGGATGAACTGATCGAAGTGGGAAAGAGGAAAGGAGGAGGAGGACGGATCCGACATGGGGTTTTGGGAAGCCTCTTCTGGTCCGGTCCAAAAGTGTTAATCATCGTTCTTAATATCTATGGAAAGATCTCGTTCTCTACATTCTGGATAACTTTTCCAATCTCAAACTGGAGGTATATTATGACCGGAAATTGATCTCAAAGTTGAGCAAATATCACTGTTTCAGAACCTAGAATATTTCTAAGTAATATAGGATCTATTCCAGCTCCACGGTGATGGTGAGTTATGACAAAGGACATGTCAGTGAAACCATGAAATTTTCAATCATCTCCATTGGAGTTATACTATGGGCGTGGTAATGTTTTCTTGTTGTGCAAGAATCAGCAGAATTCATATTAT